TAGGGAGTAATTTTTTCTCCTTGAGCTTTTTTTAAAATACTTCTAATGGTGCTGTAGTTCTTGGGTTTCATAGTGGATTTAATGTAAATTAGTTTTATATTAATATTTTATATAAGGATAGTCCTATATATATTAATTCTGTTATGGTTTATATTCATCTCATTCTGGTATGATAAGTGAACATTAAAATTAACAAGTCCATAAGTTATGATGAGCACCATTATTACTTTTCAAAATGTTATCAGTCACACTGGTCAATTTTACAGCCACATTATAATTAGCCTCTCATTTATGTCACATAATAGAATGTTCACTTTGTTTGGTTTTGCTGCAGTCTGCCCCATATATCATGTAACATACACTATAGCGAATTTAAGCAATTGAGTTTATTTTGTATTAACACGCAAGGAAAGCAATAAAATGTTTAAGTTTTTAAGCTAAAGTAAATGACCGCAATATTTACTGGATAATACTAGACTGGCGCTGTTTTCGGTATTATTTCGAAAAATTTGATGTTTAAATTATTTAACGTTTTTATAGTTACAAAATCGACCTCCCTTGAGATTGTTTCGTTGTACATATTCTAAAATAATAAAAAATCTCGATTATCATAGTTTTCTCAGTTTTTTATTACAAGTAATAAAGGTCTTTGCTTTGTTATTATTTTATCAATTACATAGTTTGCCTCAGTTAAGGTAACACGCTTTTTGAATGTTTCTTGGCCACTTTTATCCCTAGAAAGTGCTTTATTCATATATTCTTCCATAACAAAAAAAATTTTTTTTGCTTTAATTATAATAATTACCCCTCCACTATATCGAACGTATGAGGCGCTCTATACCATAATCAATCAAGCGTATTTCCTCCACTAACTGATATCCGTATAGTTTCTATATAAATACACTATATAGAGTTAGTTTAATTAGGAGAAAAAGTTTCAAACTTTCTCCGTAATAACTGAAATCCACTACAAAGAGAGCCACCGTGTATATATATGTAATTAGACGCGTGTTTGTGTGTTATAGGACAAGTAGTAATTCATGTTATCAAACGCATCTTTACAGATATAAATCTTGTTTATTATCTGTGCAGTGAGGGGTGTGAGAATCTGCGACTGTCAACAATAATAAAGAATAGATAGGTATCGATATATTGCATCGTGTAACACATTATGACATAACATTGCGACTGTCATAATTGTTTCCGTAAACGAAAACAATAGTACAGTGTAAATTTTTGGAGTACACGCAGTAAACAGTTAAACAAGTAATAAATTTACAATTACGACAAACTATGATATTATGACATTGACGCGTTACATGTAGATACTAATCTATGCTTTACTATTACTTGTAATGATGTGTACGACGCGATTGATAACATGAGTCCAGCGTCACTTGTCATGTAACATGCAAACACGCGTCTAAGTATACATATGTATATACACAGGTGGCTTTTAAATAGACATCAAACGATATGCCACTCTACATTACGCACATAAGACATGAACGAGTCATTGTCGCGTAGATACAACGTTATGCTATCCCTAAATAGTCAAAAGTAAGGAGTATAATAGTTCCAAGATTACGATTGCTTTAAAAGCTAAACGTACATGAACAATTCTTTGTTGCCGCTTCATATTACGAATACACAGATGGCAATTCGATATAACTTACGATGCGGATCTACCGGTAATGCTTTCCCCTTTCACCGTGCGCTGAAGGAATCCTGGCACGTGTCTGTTGAGTGGGCTACAGGGAATGCCAAAAACACTCTCAGACGTTTGCTTGTTTTTTTTTTACGCAGCTTTAGGTGACGGAAGAAGGTTTAAGGTAAAGTATAAGGTGTAGTGCAATATTTTATGTTATAAATTAACTCTATTTTCTTTTCCTTTTTCCTGGCCCTTTTTTTTTCTCTCTCCTGGTGGGTTTACCGGGTGAACGAATCCCAATGGGACACTTGATGGAGATGAAGCGAGTTTGAGTGACTGATTCGATAGTTACTTAGCTGCTTGTGAAGAATCTGTCCCCTGAAGCTAGTCAGAGATAAAGGGTGAGTTTGCATACCGTTTGGAAGCCATAGTTACTGTATTATACACGTAAATTAATGTTTGTTATATATGCATAATGCTATTTATTATACAATTAATCTTGGTTCCGTTAAGACTGTTTAATTAATTCTAAATAATAAACATTAATTGATATTCAAATCCGTCTTTTATAGTGTTCAGCAAAACAATCATTCGTACAGAGTGTACCATTTGTTAACATCTAGTTTATCCATCAAAAGAGCGTGAAGGCTGAAACAACGCATAGATTATTCAATCATTTTGAGCAGCATCTTCTACTACTTTACCCGTAACTCCGTACCACAAATCCATTTGCATCGTCGCGTTTTCGCGCAAATTCACAACCTGTTATTAAATCAACGAAATCGAGAGCACGACGAACCATTCTTGTAATCCGCTTCATGTACTGTATATATTCGTTTGGCTGCTTACCCCAATAACGCTCAGTAGAATTTGATTCACAGTGAAAAATATACAAACATGACCAGAATTTTCCATCGAGCCATTAGAGATATTCTAACAAATTTTTCTCTTATCTCGAGAAACTTTTTTTATACCCAAATTTTTTAGTTGGTCGAGGCATCATGAAATGACAATAAATGTCGTTGCTTGTAAGTTATTGAATAACGAATCCGAAAACTCTATTTTTCCTCAAAACGTTAAGAAAATTGTGCCCAATACTCAAAATTTTCTAAAATTTTTTTTGTTTGGTGGAATTTGTTTCTATGTTGTAAATCAATGTCACCTCAAATTTTATGAAAAAAAAATTCATTCTTATGTAAAAGCTTCTTTCATTAAATTGTTGCTAAGAAAGTCGATTCTTATGCTAGGTGAGTAGAAAAACTGTGCTCTATCACGTTACAACCATTTATTTGTTCTTTGGCTTTTTCACTACCAGATTATCGCTATAACGGTAACGGGTATAACATAGGTCAACTGTTTATCTCTTTATTACGGGCGTAAATATAATCTCCATGCAGTTAAATTGGTTGGTCAGTTTAGACATAATTCCCTTTAAAAAGCACGCAATATCAAATCTCATCATATGACACGTAAAATAACATGGGGCGTACTACGACAAAGTGAACATGTGACATCACTTCCAACCGTTCGATTCACTCAAAGGTAAAAAGCGATTCAGAACAAAAAGACAATGGATGACTGTTATGTAATAACGCATAGTTTTTTTAATAAGAATCTGGCGTTTCTTTTTTTAATTACGTTTGCAACATTTTAATGAAGCTCGACCTAATGACAACAAAATTACAGGAACCATGGAAAACGAACAGATTGCCGAAAGCCGCGGGGATCCGGAAGGGCATGCCAAAATCTTAGATAAAAAAACCAAAACGCCAAGACTTAAGCTCCTCAGAGCCAGTAAGAAAGTAAGCGGATCCACCGGCCGGATTTTTCCGCTTTGTTAGTATTTGTTCAAAGGAAAAATAACTAGTGACGTCACATGTTCACTTTAATGTCGCAGTGCGCCTCATATTATAAATAATAACAACAAGTGGAATGAAAAGTATTTAATATTAAGTAATCGGGAGATCAGTTAGGAAAAACAATAACAAGTGTTGGTTCATGGGATTAATAATAATGCATATCAATCAGAAGTTAATGGATCCCGATAATCGCCCTTACGGTTAATTGATACTTCGACCATTATAGTAATGGTAGAAAGATAGTAGTATGTAACGCTGATAAGTGACAAACAAAGTCATATGATTTTGCGCTATTTCGTGTGATTACAACCTTCCCCCCTTTTTACTGAGAAACAAAGCAGACCATAAGTGTGGAAATAAAGAATGATTATGGAGTTTGGTGTTCTGTGGCTTATTAAAACTTGAAACCCCCTAACAAGAAAACAAGAATATCGAACACATCTGATGTTGCACATGACGACCTGTTTTATGTAACATGTGCTTAGTGAGAATTAATAGATATCCCACTCATCTGACAGGCCTTTGAAATGTACGCCCATCCGCATTCCTTTCCCCCTCCACCTGTCAAAGTGGAAAAAAAAAACTCGACAAATGGTGGTAAAGTCAGTTAAAAAAAACGACATTCATTTCTCCTCTCCTCTCTCTCTCTCTCTTTTTCTGCTTGTCCTCGTGACACGCCATTTTCTCACGATGTTATGTGTAATTATTAGGGATAACGATATACGAACACAAATTTACCAAATGTACAGAAACTATTGGCGTACGAAAATTAAATGTTATCGCTTGTACTCCCCCAAAAAGATTTCATTTTAAAAAAGATCTTATCTGTTTATCAAAAAAAAGACTGATTATGTGAAATGTGAAATATGGAAATATTTTTAAACTTCTTGTCAGATTGGTATTGTTGCGTGATCGGCTAAGCGATAAC